TGGGTCTCCAATTTTGATGTCGTCGTTATCTGCAATCCAGGGTGAGTTCTCCGCTTATCTCGCATAACTTCTGACATTACTCTCTGACTCCAGGAAAGTTGCACTTCTTTCCAATCGCATAGTGACGATTCTACCCATGTTCGTGGGATAAGAAGTTCATCAGGATTAGTTAGGAACATGATATGTGATCCTTAGGTTGTATTTTCGCATAGCTGATTCTCACGGATTGCGAGTTTCAACAGCATTGGGCAGCTAAAATCAAATCGTTCTCTGTGTACTGGTCAATTGCGAAGGTCACGCTGGGCAGCTCTTGTGTATACAAGATTGTTCAGCCTAATTTCCAGAAGCCCTGAAATGAGCATGGCATGTGTGCCCCATTCATCGAGGACCACACTCTGGGGCAGAACTCTGTCGATCACATCTCATCATTCCGCAGTGTACAAATGGGTCCAAGGTCCCGGGTCTTCCTTGCCAAGACACGAGGTCAATTAGAATCTTCAAATCAGTCGGTAAATGCGCGGAGGCTAGCACGGATGGAACACGTGGAACACGTACATGAATTGGAGGCGGCGTGTGCTGTTCGTGTTGCGGCTGATCACAGGGAGGTGCACTTATGGACGTGGTACGTCTGTTCCGCAACTTTCGGATGATGGGAAAGAAAGAGATCAGTTGATGGCGAACATGCATTATTTTTTGAGATCAGATCGCCACGAAGATGATGATCAAGGGAGCACTCCGGACTATTCACTATTCCGCGAGGTATTGGTATAATGCCATGCGTGTTCTCCCATGGCGTCTTGTCGACGGCCGGTTCTGAGTTCTGACGGTAATAGAGGGAGAGCATCGTGTTATAGATCAAGATGCAAATCTATGATCGTTTGGATTCGGTGAAAAAGTTGCTGAATGAAATTCGCTGCTCTTTGGCCTACCGAAATCGACACTGCATCCATTGAACCACGCTGAATGGCTGTAAAACAACATGCACTCTGATAGCCCTTCTAAAAAGGCAAGGTGTCGTAGGGATGAAGTCCTCGATCCAATCCAAGTGCAGAAGACTCGAATCCTGTAAACCCTTCGACAATGCCTGACAAGATCATTGTTACTTCTGAATTCGAAAGACCCGGACACTATGAGGGCCCAGCTACTTTGTTTGTCATCCCTCGTTATTCCACTCGTTGTGCGCTCATGCCATGGTACACCAGTTCATCCAGTTCTAGTGCAATTGCTAGTGCGTTTCCATCTCAAGCTCCAGGTGCAAATGCCATCCACCCCGACGACGTAAGTTTTTACGTGGAGAGAGGTTGATGCACGTGTGAACTTTTGTTTAGCAGATCGAAGTTCCTGGGCCTGTTGTGTACGCCTCCATAGGCGGAACAATGTTTGGCGAAACCGATATTCAACTTCACCCTCATGAGCTCGAGGTGTTGCTACACTCCGATAATGTTAATCAGTACGGTACCCTTCTTTGCTCCACTCGTGCGCTCATGGAATGATGCAGTGATTCGTATACACCCGTGAGCGTTCCTGAACTTGAAGTTCCTCCCAACCAAGCCCCAGATAGGGGCCCCATCAACAATGTGAGTCTATCCATAGAGAGTGGTCGATACTTGTATAAACAGTTTTTTGTCCCTTCCGTTGTCTGTGCAGGTTCCGGAAATCAGTGACAACGAAACCACATATCACAGTCCCAATATGCGACCCCAACATGACGGCAATAACCAGTAGTCATGCAAAGGATACACTCTTCACATACCCTTCGCATCATTTTGCGAAGATTCCGTAGAAAGCAAACCCATACTAATGCTTTGAGATGGATTCATTACATGTTTTCTTCTGTAAATTACTCGCGCACGTTTGTCAAGGTCTGGACGGACCGTCCGGGCCATACCCACCTCTCGCGAACGCTTCCAGGAGACATAGATAGGGTTACTTGTTGCTGTGGGCAGGCTTGCTCGCCTGTCTCCAAGTACCCGGGTACCAAGAGTGTGGTTGGCGTGTGTTAAGAGTTTTCTTATATGGTGTTACATTTGTGCAAAAATTATTTGACGTCGGGAATTTACTTGATTGTGCGGGACAAACAAGATTTTTGTGTCCCGCAACCAGAATTGATTATGTAAGCACTCACATCGCACTAGCTTTGAGTGTAGTTAGGCCTACCAAATGGCCTCATCACCTATTATGACTCATATACTGTATGTATAACATTCTAGTGGCACATTGTTATGACTAGATCTGCCCCCCCTTAGGAGCTTCTCCCCACAAATCCCCACAGTTCATTCTCATCACTCCTCTGCATTCTATATAATTACATAGGCATACAGGGGTGCAGCCACTACACCCAAAACATGGCCTCATTTGGCACATGTCTGATATCCAACATTCCCACGCACTGCCCTCATTGCCCCCCCCTTCATGTATTAGACCTTTGATGAATGCTTTTCTGCCCATCCCAATGGGCCTAAATGGTTGGAAAGTGTGATAGGGAGAAAAACAGAAAAAGCAGGTGCTTTTTTGATACATTGGACATATCTATCAGGTTATTATGTCCCCTTGAAGGGGCCATGTGTGCCTACAACATATCAAAAGTTCATAGGCTGGGATGGGGTGCTTCAAGTGTAGTGGCACACTTGGCTCCTTTCTGTGTTACACCCTAGAAATATTTTTTTAGGCTTTGTGACACTAGTAATGTAATTGGACATGGTATATTTATGTGCCACTAGGATGTTATACATACAGTATATGAGTCATAGTAGGTGATGAGGCCATTGGTAGGCCTAACTACACTCAAAGCTAGTGCGATGTGAGTGCTTACATAATCAATTCTGGTTGTGGGACACAAAAATCTTGTTTGTCCTGCACAATCAAGTAAATTCCCAATGTCAAACAATTTTTGTACAAATGTAATGCCATATTCTTAGGGTCCTTTATGAGATGGAATTATTCATTGCTATCAGTGTGGTGTCACACACCAAAGGTGTTTGGTGAGGTGGACATGGATACAGTTGATGAGTGGAGGTGGAGACCACAGCCCTCATGTGAAGAAGGACAGCCAGAAATGTCAGCAGTCATCCCTCACACAAGAATGAGTCATCAGTGCCAAAGAAAAAGAAAGAGAGCAAGTTAAGCACTGGTTAAAATTCTTAAGTGCCCATGTATGGCATTCCAGTTTTCGACATATCTCTGCTGTTTCTGCAGATACTGAGACCATTCCCACACTCACTTGTAGTGCTTGGCCACATGATCTTACCTTCCAAAATTGGAAAGGATTTGCACACTCCACATGTTTCTACAGCACTCCCTCCAAAAGATGCTCATTTCACTAAATTCTTCTGATATGGCCACCTCCACATCAGTCATTTCACTTGTCCCCTTTGCTAGGGACCATGGCTACATATATCTGCCAGGAGTTCCTACCAGCTTCTGTCCTGAAGCATCCTGGTACATCCCACCCTTGTCTGTGCCCTCTCAGCCCATCCAGCTTGGACAGCATGTTCTTTTTGTCAGTATGACCTCTAGGAGGATGTTCTTTGGTCACCTCAGTCCAAGAAGCATATGGGTCCTTCCTCCCTACTCCCTGCAATGTCTTCATACCAGTCTCATCCATCATTCTTCCAAGATTGCAACAGCTACAGTATAATCCACTGTTCTCCACTCTCCCTGATCACATCCATGATGAGTATGATGCTCATCTTGACTCCTTGTTGCAAGATATGGCAGAGGACACTCCCCCTTCATCCTCTCTTCCAACAGAGCCTCATTCATGAAGTTTTTATTTACTTCACTGAGAGGATGGTTTGGGGGGGAAAGTTGTGATCCCCTATGCTCCTGTCACCCCACAGACCCCCAAAGCTTGACCCCTGTTGACATCTGACTCACCCTGTCCACTTTTGGATGTACTATATTGGCATCAGATCAGTGCTGCCTCTCTGTCATCCTGCCTTGGCCTAGAAGCAATCTCTTCAAGATGTGACATGCACAGCCTCCCCCTAATGTGATTCCAGTGCACTTTCCCAGTTCCTGACATTACTTGACTCATACTTTGATGTTCTGACTGTCTCTGACTCACCTATTGCCAATACTTACCAATCTTTTGATTTTGCTTACTGATTCTTTGCCTTTTGGCTTGCTAATCCTTGCCAATGCTTTCCAAGACAATTACCCATCGCTTACATTCCTTACTCATCAGTTACCAATCACTTACCAAGTGTTTGTACCTTGTTTTCCAAGGGCAACACCCCTGTACTGTATATAAATCACTGTACTTAGATAGCAAAAAAAAAAAGAGAAGAAGACATCAGAGAGCCCCTCTTGCTCGCATTTTATCATCACTCAGTAATTCATTCAGCAGCTTTGATAGTTGAGACTTTATTGAGGGTCTAACTATTGTCTACTTTGCTTATCCTTGTCTATCATCAATATACTTCACTCCAGGCCCTCCCTGAGCTCAGTGCAGCTTAGAACATCAAATTAAGTTGCCATCCATCCTTCTGTAGGCTGACAGCAGTCTACCCTATCACTTTCTATCACATTCTTGCTCCCTCTTCATCAGGAGCACCCCCAGCCCTCAGCACTTGTCCTTGAGTGTTGTGGCTTGCAAAAACCCACCCAGGTCAAAGGTTCTACCATCTAGGTAACACATAGGCACACCACCACTTGCTCTTTTTGTCTTTTGTGTTGGTTTTGGTTGGTTTTCACCACTGAACCACACTTTGACTCACAGCAGTTAATGGTTTTGATTCTCTGCAACCCTGCTTAGTTAACCCCCATACACCAGTCATCAGCAAAATGCTGAAATGAATGCTTAGCAAGCAAGACCTTGACAGGTAACAGAATGTTATGTTCACTCAAATGACAACTGCTGATTGGCTGGTTAGTTTGCCATTCAGTGATGTTCATGATGCATCTTATCTTTGAAGTACTTCGGAATATTGTATCTAATTAGCCTATCTGTGACTCTGCTGGGCACTGAAAAAATTGTCTCTTGATTTTGATAGCCTACACTAGATCTGTACTGATCTATATTCATACAATGTATCAAAAGCTTCCTTGTCAGTATAGTAGTTGAGGTAGAAGTGTTGGTACACCTCCTGTGATGTTGCCAGTGTCACTGTGTGGTCTACTTCCTTCCCAAATGCAGGCACTAGGTCTGCTGAATGACAAACTTCAGTTGAAGGAAGAATAAAGCCAACACAGCAAGCCAATGTTGGACATAAAGAGGGGGAGTATACCCTCTCAAGCATCCACAAGCATGTGTCTAGTTGACTTTCTGGTGTTGTGATGATATGGAATGGCTGAACATAAAGGAGAGGCTGAGCTAAAAAGGGGGGAGGCAGCTCTTGAGAGTGGTGGGAGTGGGCCATCTGAAATACTACTTGTACTTGTGCAACATGATCTGTATGAATAAATAGAATAGTGTGTTAGTCATACAGCAACATGCATTGAACAACTTACAACCAGGATTGCATTGACTCTGCCCATTGACATTCAGAAGGATGGCATCACAGTTGCTGAGGGGGAAGCTGGTTGATGGAGGCTGAGCTTGAACCACTTGACTAGGCATGATGGTTGAAGGCTGGGATACTGAGTACTGTTGAATATGGAATTTATGCCAGACCATAATTTCATTGAATGACTGAAAGATTGAGTGGGATGTTGAACCTCCTGTGCACTGCAAAATGTATTCCTCGAGCCTAGTGGTGAAGTCAGGAAGCATGTAAATATCTCCAATATCAACAATCCTGAGTTTTGTGCAGTCAGGAGTGATTGTGATGGACAGTGCAGTTGTGGCACTGCTGGAGCTAATACCATCTGTAAAAATATTGTGAATGGGCCAAGGAGAGTTAAAATGGTATTGTTTGCCAGGGGCAACATGGGAGACCCATGCCGAAGTAGGATCTGCTGAACAGAGAAGATCTTCTTCATCACTGGCAGCATTGACCAAGGGTTCATTGTATTTGTGAAGTAGGAGGTACACATCCAAGAGGCGCATATGCTCCTTGTGGTCGAGAGGGTGGATGATCTGTTTGGTGAAATTGGGCTGCTTGTTCATCCAAGTGAATGGAGTCTTGCAATGGGTAATGAGCAGGCACTCTGAGACATCAGCACTATACTGTATCAAACTGCCACTCCTTCTAATAGCATCTGCAAAGCTTAACAAAAGCTCCAGCTTAGGGATGTTAAAGTTTTCTTTCCCTGAGTGACTGCCAGCAGTGATGATGGCATGTTTTGTTGAATGAAACTCTAAGAGTGATGCTTCCATGCTTCTAATTGATGATTCTGTGTGAAGTGGCCTCTGAGCAAGATAGAAAAAATTGATGAGTGCACAGACAGGTCAAACCATCATGGAAGGGGCAGCACCAGCAATCATAGGGACAATAGTACATTGGATGTCACAATAACCACAGCCTGTCATCTGGCTCCCATGTGATACACCAGCAGTGAAGTGGTGCACCCCAACACATTTGTGGTGGACCTTGTAGTGGGTGTCAAGTTCATCACTCCCAACCACCTCCTTGCACCACTTTAACACATGATTGAAGAAAAGCTTGTGGACTGTGTGGAGAATTTCAGGGATGAGGAAACAGCAAACATTGCTATTTTTCCAGTCCTGCCAAAATGGAAGATGTACCCCAAGGAGATGATTAGCCTTCGCCAACTTTTGGAAGGCATCAAGGTCCCAAGGTTTCTTTTGACAACTGATGGTGTGGATGAGGTCAAGTGTGTAGGCTTTCATGCAGAAGGGCTGACAAGTTGAGTCTCTAAATTTGTTGAGAGTTGCCAGAGTGACTGGGGATGCATTTCTACTTACAGTGGCAATCAGCTGTTGCTCTGGCAGGTCTGCAGTCCATGCAACCAAAGGTGTGTAACAACATCAGACATCACCAAATGGATCAGCCATGAACTCTCTGCAATTGGCAGCATGCTTCAGCTTCTCTGTGATGATGTCAACACATTTGTGCCAGAGCCAGGACTGCAAGATCATCTGGTAATCTGAATGAACCTTGAATTTGACAACAGGCACAAAAGCCACACATCACCAGGCATGTGCTGTGGCCTTCATACAGACATTGGCATCAATATTGGCAATCATGAGGAAAAGTGGGTGCATCTCAAGCCCACCCATGTACCTTGTAACAGGTGTCTTGTCTGAAGCAGCAATAACAGGAACAAGGGTCATGCCATCAGGGAGAGTGTCTGTAATTAATATTAGCAACTAGAAGATTCAGTGAAGAATAAGAATGATTGACCTGGATACATGTTGCCTCCTGTGCTGTGAACCATTCCCTGTATTCCTCCTCTCCATTTCTCTGTATGCAAAGCAGGTTGAAAGTCATATTCTGGGCAAAAATTGGGTTTCCGAAAAGGCTCTCTACAACCTCTAGTCCATCACAATAAATAAGATCGATCTTCTTCCCTGTGTTGTAGCCACCAACCTTGAGTTGCATTACTTGCCACCCTGGCCCTGATGGCAGGGTGTCCATCCAGTCAAGGAGCTGGCACACTGATGTGAATGATGGTTTTTGACCATCCAGCTGTATTGGAATTTATAATATGAACATTCCAAGCTGTATCAGAACTCACCCAATCCAGTTTGAGGAAAGTATTGATCTGAGCCTGCATGAGGTTCTCAGAAAGAAATTTGCCCAGTCTCCATTCCACATGACTTTGGAAAGGCCAGTGGATATTTGTTTCCTGATTCTTCTGATATTGATCATCTTGAATTCGTTCAAGTGTGTTCTTCAACCAACCATATATCCAACCTGACTTCTCATGGTACTGGGCAGTGCGATCCCCAGACTCTGTCAATGAGTGAAGAGCAGGGGGTAATGGATAGGTATGTTTCCAGTGTTGAGGAGGTTCCATCATTAGCTTTGTGAAGTACAGCACTCCTGAGCTGTTCAGTGCCCAGCCAAATTTTTCTAAGTCTTTTGAACTCCACTTCCTTGCTTTCACCCACCAACAGTGTGCATACTCACATCTTAGGCTGAATGCATATACAGCTATGTCTTGCCCCCTTACCCCTCCTCCAAGTTCTCCACAAACCCATCAATATGAATATCACAAGGGATCTCCCTCCCAAGTTCCTCCCTCACCTCCTCAGAGCCTCAGCACTGAGGAAGTGCAGATGCCACTTTGACTTCACAACAAGAGTTACCCAGGGGACAATCTTTCTGTGTTCATCCCTCCTGCTGCTCATAATCTGTCAGCTCATGTTAAGCATTCTCATGCCAAGTTCACACCTTACAGCAAGCCCAGTGCTATTGAGCTCCACTTTGCCAAGAAGTCACTTGGATGACAATCAGTTAGTGATATCACCTTGGAAGATGCACAAGTGGTAAAATCTCTCATATACCTGTACATGCACTATATGTTCTTACAAATATTATTCAGGGAAGAACACTTTTTGTCCATGGATTGATGGGGTTGTCTGAGAGAGCCTTCCAAAAGGCTTTGGCAATGAAGGAGGCTGACTGAGAATTGAGGTGACTCCATGCTCTTACTACTGCTTTGGAGATCAAGGCTATCAACTGCCAGAGAGATTTCCTCCTTGCAATGCAAGAAGAAGAGACTCAGTTCCTTCAGTCAACTAAAGATCTCCAGTTTTTCAAGGATATCATGGAGCATCACTCAGTCAGTCAATTGGAAGAGGAGGAAGAGTACCACATTGGGGCTTATGGACAGGATTTAACACTGATTGCATTGGAGGATGAATGCCTCAACCAGATGGAGGAAGTCACAGGTAAACTCAAAGACAACAAAGTGCTTGACTCCAAGGATAATCTGATGGCCTTCTTGGCCACTTCCATTAATGTTGATGAAAGTGACACAGATGTGAGTGAAGAAGACAAAAGTGAAAATTGATCATGATAATTTCGGTAAGCCTCTATTCTTCTTTGCATCATCACAACTCCAACCACCATGCCAGCCTCAGTGGCTATTTGTTCTTTTTTCTTTCTTTTCTTTAGTCAATTAGCATGATCATTCCACATTGTGTAATGAAACTCTCCATGCTTTCCCTGTATACAAATTTGTATTTGATTGATGCCCAATATATGTGATAAGATACACACATGTAAGCCACGATGTCTCCTGGACAAGGATGTGTTGTGTTTTCAACCACCATGAGCTTGCAGGCAAAAAGCAAAAAAGCAAAGGTGAGCAAATCTGTGCACTCAGAAAAAGATGCTAACACTTTGGTTTCTTACAGATGAGGCCAAAGTACCCTGCTTCATCTGGTTTGAACCCAGCAGGAAACCCAGTGGCAAGCCAGCTGAACATTGCAGATGAGCAATGATTGACCAGCAACTGCAGTCTCAAGCAAACTCTCTTTAATATCAGTACCCCGATGACCATGATCAAGGTCTCCTAACTACCACAGACACCAGACATGAACACCCTCATCCCCCAATCTCCAATCCTGCCAATGCTAGCTATGGTGCTGCACTGCCACTCCCCTTTGATCCTGCCAATGCTAGCTACAGCACTGTGCCACCAGTCCCTTTCAATCTCACCAATGCTAGCTACAGCACTGTGCCACCAGTCCCCTTCAATCCTGCCAACACTAGCTACAGCACTGCACCACCAATTCCCATGGATCTTGGACATCTGATGGGTTCAACGGCATATCTGTATTTGCCCCCAAATTTCAATTATGCACCATCAGCCCTTGTCACAAGGCAGCTAAACCACTTATCATCCAGAATCTTTCTGTATTCCCCTCAAACACAATGCATTGGGCACATTGAAAGGCCCCTTTGAGGTGGAGAGGAAGTATCCAACCAGTGTTTTGTTGTCACTGGGAAATCCGTTATTTGAGTAAGTACTAGGAATTGTAGCAAATGTATGTAAGCAACTCTAACACATTTTACAGCAAGTCAGTCAAACAACATGGAGTATTGCACAAGGCTCCACCTCAGCTTCACTGCCCACAGTACATCCAACACCAGACACTAGCAGCTCAGCCACTATTGACCCAGGACTTCAAGCAGCTGACATCAGCACAGCTGTGCATTTCAACCTGAAGAGGCACCTTTTTATTACAAACCTCCTGCCCAAGAAATCTGAATTATCTGCAATGATTACACAGGCATTGCAGGAAACTGTGTTAGGCCACACCAGAGGTAAGCCTGCAAACATTGCTGTTGACAATCTGACAGCTGCTGCAGGCAACTGGTTAAGAACCAACATAATGAGCAAGACAAACAAGTTGAAGGAGGTCATGACAAACATACACTCTGACTTCAGGAGTGCTGCACACATCCTGGTGTTACCACTCTATGGCCTCATGGTTCCAGTACAAAGGCACAGTGAAGAGGTGCAGCTACACAAAGACTGGATCCTGTACCTCCTCAAAGATTTCATGTGGCTAGATGAACCTAAAATGGTACAAATCCTTTCTCCATTTGATGTGTGTACTCAATCATCTTAAGTGTGCAGCCAGTGACAGCATCACTGTAGCTCCCTTTGGCCACCCTGCACTTGTACAACTTGTCCTCAATCTCCTGTGGGGAGAGAAGTAGTATTGTAGGTTTGTCAACACTGAGCAAAGGGACCTCAAAGTGGTGATTGCCCTCACAAGCATGGCCTTGCAACTGGCACTCAGAGGATATTCCAGCAGAATGTTTTTGGCACTTGAATTCAGTCTCAAGGACAATCATGCTATACATTGAAGTATAACCTGTTGTATTATGAACTTGCAGGGAACTGAACTTCTGGACTACACCATGTTGGTGGATGATTTGATTGCATGAGGAAAGGAGATGATAGGAGCTCCTTAACATCTTATCACATCTTTGATAGTGTCAGATAATGTCATGTACCAATCAGACAAGCAATAGCATATCCGATACATCACCATGTTGTGTGATAATCTAATGAAGAGCAAAGAACATCACTTTACATCACAACTTAGACAGTGCTTGTACTACTTGCTAAATGGGGGCTCTAAGAGTCTCTTAGACCTTGCTTACATTTGCAGATGGTGTTTCCTGGCCAAATTTATTCCTCTGCCTGACGGGGTTATGGAATCGATAGTAATACACGGCACAAGTAGTCGCCGGGGTCACCCAGTGCATACCAGTCGCGAACTTGTAGTGGGTGCTCCACCCTGACAGAGGTAGTTAATGACTTCCGTGGTGTAGGGTACAGTCCCCACAGAGCGCCCAATTGTCGCCTTACTAATTTTACCGACCGCTGCGCCAGCATCGCGCTGCAATTCAACACTCTTCAGGTGATCGCTGTGACGATTCGCCTATCCCCAGGTAGCACGGAGTAGTGGATTAAAACAGTGAATTCTCCCACGCTGACTCGGTCTCTCTTTACCCCATTGGGGTCTTACAAGAAAGCCACCAGTCCCGCATATCTGCGTTGTGTTCGTGGAATATTGAACGTTAAGATTATCAGTTGGACGCATGCACCACCTGAGCGCCTGACTGAATAGTAGGATTGGTCGTCTTTTTACACACTCTGATTCTCACGGATTATGGATTCCAGCGGATTGGGCACCTGTCACTCTTTGTCTACTGTTCCATTGGATGGTCACGCTGGGCAGCTCTTGTGTACGCAAATTAATTTATCTTCAAGTCCAGGTAGAAGAAGCCCGGTGGCTTGCAGGCCCCACTCGAAGGTGAGACCCTGTCTTTTGCGATGCATTTCAACAGGTTCAAGGTCACAGACGCTCCTAGTCCATGCTAGCCTGGTGGTTGATAGAGCTCCCGCCGATCTCGTATCTTGGCAAGTTGGAGGTGGCATAAGCTGCTCATGCAGCTGCGCAGCCGATCACGGGGGGCGGTGCCTATGCTCGTGCTACGTTTTTTCCCGGAACCCCGCCGAACGGCTGTAAATGACGAACACCGTAACTGCCCCTTTAAAAAAGAAGGGCGTTGTGTAGATGGAGTCCTCAATCCACTGCAAGAGCAGAGGAGACGAGTATTCCAAATCCTTCGACAATGGCCGACACCAATCCTTTTGACCCCGAGGGTCTCGAGCATAACAACGGTTCTCAATCCACTGCAAGCGCAGAGGAGACGAGTATTTCAAATCCTCCAACAGTGCCCGACGAAACCAATCTTCCTGACCCCGAAGGGCATGGGCACCACGATAATCCGGCTGTCTTGTGTGTTATCCCTCGTCAATCGGCTCGCCATGCCCCGATGCCATGAAATGTAGCGCACTCGCTAATGCTTTGCATCATCCAACTCCGCCTGTAAATGCTGCGCCAATGGATGAGGTGAGTTTTTGCGTGGCGGCTGATGCACCCGTAAACTTCCCCTCTCTCTCTCTCTTTTTTTTTTAGCAGATTATTCTGCCAGCACTGGTGCTGGACGCAAGTGGCGACGAAATTCGTGAATCTTTTGGGGTGGAAAGAAGGTATCCACTCAAGTTATCACATCCCTTAGCAGAAACTGGATTGATATCGGTACTTTGAGATGGATTCTCTGTCTTTGTTGTTTTCGCTCGTGATCCTGTAATGAGTTTTGCATGTGTAAGATCGTTGTTGAATATTCACTGGCTTCGCGTCGAGCTACCCGGCGAAGGTTTCAGCGTTTAATTACTTCGTGAACCATCAAAGGACTGTGACTGAACGTGACTCAGCGTGTTGCTCGTTTGCTGGCCACCTGCGTCGTGTCTTCACTACCGGTTCTACAAACACTCTCACTCTCGCGATTCGAGTCCTACTTGGGGCCTGTCCTGGTTCCATGGTCTTTGGTCGTGCTGTGCACCATCGGGCGTGAACATTATGATAAGGTTGATTCAGAGTGGTGAAGTATCGGCCAACTTTGTTCGTTTAGAAAACTCCTTGGGTACTCCTGTCTTTTCTTAGTATGGACAGCTGATAGAAGCTTGTTATAGATCTCATGGTGAGGTTCATCCCGGTTCGTCATTCATCAGCTTCTATGCACAACGATCCGCATGTTTTTGATGTGTTACCAGACTGCTGGTTGCCAACAGTCTGTCTGCTCTAATCTGCTTTGGTCATCAAGACTCGTTGGCCATCTTTGCGGACTTGATGCTTTTCTTGGATCGACATCATATGTTTTTTTTGGGTCTTACCAACCGACGTGCAATATGTCCTCGAGGAAACCACATTGCGTTGTACGCTTTGCCACCATGGATCTGATCCTGAAAGATCTAGCACACTCCTACCACCATCTTCTGGAAATTGGTACTACTTTCACATTCATTTGTCTGCTTCTGATAGGTCATATGAATTAGATCTCTTACCCTCTGATCACCATGAAGTGAGGATGTCGAGAGGGTAGGCGTATCAATTGTTGCTCGGGATCCATGTGTTGTTCCAATCCGAGAGCAGGTTTGCATCCGATCCTCTGCCTTCACGTTAGAGATGTGATAATAATTACAGGTTGAAAACTAAATTGCTTCCAGAAGAACATTATCTCCACCCAGCACTCGTTTCCGATCGTTTTCTCAGAGAGCGTCTGAGTACATTCAATTGAAACCCTAGGCGTTTCCCGGTGGAAGCATTCGTTGCCCATACAGATTGCATTGTTAAGTGGTGGCGAATTTAAGCTCCTAGACAGGGCCGGCAAATGGTTTGTGTTTTCGTTCCCTTGGGGTTATCAAGGCGCTACCCAGGGATGGCCACGAGTTAGACTGCGTTCAGACCCGGTGACACTAGAGTGTGTGGCGAAGTTGACTGGTCTACATGGTTGGAAAGCATGGCGGCCGTTTGCTATGCCTTGCGTCTCACAGGGAGAATGTGTAGGTAAGTGTGATTATGAAACGTTAAAGTTAAAGCGTTTTCTATCGATCTCCCAGTGCAACGGTTCTGATGTGCGCACCCGGCTGTGCTCCGTATGCAGCGTGGCCAACGTTTCAGGCTAAGGGGTATGGCTTGTGATAACCTGCCCTGCATGACGCCACGCTTGCCAACACTGCACGGCGGAGCTGAAAAAGAATCACTAATTGTTCTCCGTCTCACTTCAGTTGAAAAACTATTTCACAAGAAAATATGCTCGACCGAGCATTGATCGATGATCAATCACCGGTGGCCAGTTCACAGAGTGGCCTTTTTCTTCTTCTTCCATCTGTATATTATCTCAACATAACGGAAATTGGTGGTTATTATCCTGTCTAGCAACGATTTGGAGAACTTCGATGGTGTAGGGTTTAGTTTCTGCTCTGCCATGACAGCTGACCAAATATTCCAGCGCACCAGTCAACGGATACCAATTTTACCGATTCTTCTGCCGGTATCGCCGTGCAATGCGGAACTAATATAGGACCTTTGGCCGCTACGATCGGTGCGCGCCTAGTAGCCCGGTGAACGTTTCATGCCGATTAAAGGGGGAAAATCGAAATATGGGAAGGTTGTATATCAGTCCCCGCAGAACTCGCTCTTAACCACAAAAGGACACTCAGTAAATTGTCCTCAAACTGCTCCATTCCAGTGTCGAGTGAATCAAGGTAAAGTTTAGGTGAAGACCAATGTCCGATCCTACCACATGTCGACATAGCATCTCTAAGCGTGCAACGCAGTGTGAGTGAGTACTTCTGTAGGCCCCACACAGCCTTGTTTGGGAGGTGGAATCAGTCCAAACTAGGACCCGCGGGGAACATTGTATACTACATACATATACAGCACAAACTCGTTGCGTTTCGTGTTTCCGTGACCCTGCCTGCAGGGTCTCGGAGGTAATAAACCAACTTCAGGCCGCAATAAGAGCATTCGCGTAAACACTTGTATGAACCTGGCAGTAAGTAGGGAGCGGATGCAAAAGCCGTCCGTTGGAGTCGTTGTTCTGCGGTGCAGGCTTCTGGTCGAGATACAGGGCGACTGGAGACACGATCAGCCAGGAAGAGAACTGGGCTGGGTCGGAGAGAACTCCTTATTGCACATATGGTACAAACGTGACCTACACCATCCGTCCTGCGGCTTCGGAGCACGAAAGGTGATGCATGACTTGGCTCACCAATCACCCGTTTTGCCAGTCTACATTCCATATTTCACAGCCAAATCACAGCAAGATTGATGATCAGGAGTGGTTTTGCCATTCATCATTCCAAAGCACTACGCCAGGGTATCGTGGCGCCACGTCTGCTCCTACAGGAGTTTCAGTGACGTTGTTAAACTCGGAACACACGCGATCAGAAGGCAAGCATCATGCTATGGTCCAAGATGTAGATCTATAAGCTGTTTGTCTCAGGGAAGAAACCCGCTCGATGATTTGGAGTGGGGGAACCCGTTGCTCCTCTGCCAATCCGACGGACGATAAGGGGGAGGTAGGAGGGTAAACCGTGGTTGCCCCTTTAAAAACGAAGCACTCTGCAATCCACAGGAAGTGCAAAGATTCACAGAAACGAGTCACCATTCATTGACGATGTGCCGTCATTACAGCCTGTATTCTTACCCTCATGATCCGGAGGCCCCAATTCATTACAACGGTGTCAACCCGTAGGTCACCGGTCACCCTTCTTCACCTTAGTCGTTAACTCATGCAATGATGCAGGCGTTCATACACGCTTGTGGAAGCTCTGGGGCCCAACCCGTCGGCAGGCGCAACTTCTGCCAACACTGCGAAAGCTTGCGTCGAGAGCGGTCGACACATGTATGAGTTCCCTGACGCCAGTACTGGTGAGCGCGGAAAACGGATGAGAAGGAGCGATAGCTTTCCTTCGAATTCTCGACTTCCTTAGCGGCGACTATCTGCAGAAGACGAACGGGCCAAAATTTGCATGACATCGACCACCTTCGTTTACTCTAATCGCTTGTGCAGCACGTCTTCCTGTAAACCACATGTGTCCCCCCTTCGTACGACTTTCCCCACGAAAATTTCAGAATGTCTTGTAGACCAATGCACACTCACATACTTTAAGTA